CCACAGTTGTGAACAGCACTCACCAGAGGAGTTTTTGCCAACTGAGAAGCAGCTGTTACTACAACTGCCCGAGGAGCAACTGCAGCCCAAGGAGCCACTGCCACCCAAGGAGCAGCCCCTGAATGACTCAACATCTAGATCTGTCAGTGAGATCAAACATGGGTAGACAAAGAAACCCCCAAAGGAAAGAAAAGGAGGACTCACCAGAAAAGCAGCTAAGTGAAACAGAGGCATGCAACATGTCAGAAAAAGAATTCAGATTAAGGGTCCTAGAGTGCATAAACTGGATGGATGAAAAAATCAAAAACTTATGCAAAAATCAAGAAGAAATGGATGAAAAAAATCAATAACTTATGTAAGAATCAAGAAGAAATGAAGAGTTATAGAGCTGCAATAAAAAACACCATTGAAAGTTTCAACAGTAGACTAGGAGAAGCAGAGGAACAAATTAGAGAATTAGAACACAGGGAAGCAAAACACAACCAAACTGAACTGCAATTGGAGGAAAAAATTAAAAGACAGGAGGAGAGCCTAAGGGAGTTATGGGACAACATGAAAACAAAACAACATACGAATAATAAGGGTGCCAGAACAACAGGAAGAGGAACAAGGGTTACAAAACCTACTTGAAGAAATAATATCAGAAAACTTTCCTGAGGTGGGGAAGAAAAAAGTCACACAAGCACAGACAGTCCCATACAAGGTGAACCCGAAAAGACCCACAACAAGACACATCATAATTACCATGGAAACTGTTCAGGACAAAGAGAGAATCTTACAGGCTGCAAGAGAGAGACAGAAAGCTACATACAAGGGATCTCCCATTAGATTATCAAATGATTTCTCAACAGAAACACATCAGGCCAGAAAATAATGGATGGAAATTTACAAAGTGATGCAAAGCAAGGGACTGAATCTAAGAATACTCTATCCAGCAAGGCTATCATTCAAAATTGAAGGGGAAATAAGAAGCTTCACAGACAAAAAAAGGGAGTTTATCACAACCAAGCCAGCAATGCAAGAACTGTTAAAGGAACTGGTGTAAAAAGAAGACATAAAAAGCTAAGAAAGAAGACAGGTACAAAAATATAAATGGATACAAACAAGTACCTTTCAATAATAACTTTAAACGTAAATGGACTAAATGCTCCAATGAAAAGACATTGAGTGGTTGAATGGATAAATAAACATGACCCATATATTTGCTGTCTACAAGAGACCCACCTCAGAATAAGGGACTCACACAGACTGAAAGTGAAGGGATGGGAAATTATCTTTCAGGCAAATGGAAATGAAAAAAAAAGCTGGGGTAGCAATACTTATATCTGACAAAATAGACCTCAAAGTGAAGGCCATAACAAGAGATAAGGAAGGCCACTTCATAATACTAAAGGGATCAATACAACAAGAGGATATAACCCTGATAAACATATATGCACCCAATGCAGGAGCACCCAAATACATAAGAAAACTCCTGGAAGATATCAAGGGAGAGATCAACAACAATACAATCATAGTAGGGGACTTTAATACACCACTGACATCACTGGATAAATCCTCTAAACAAAAAATCAGCAAAGAAACAGTAATTCTAAATGACTCACTAGATCAGATGGACTTAATTGACATCTTCAGAACATTTCACCCCAAAGCCGCAGAATATACATTCTTCTCAAGTGCCCATGGGACATTTTCAAAAATAGACCACATACTGGGTCACAAGCAAAGTCTCCCCAAATTCAAGAAGATTGAAATCATACCAAGCATCTTCTCAGACCACAATGGCATAATATTAGAAATAAACTACAATAAAAACAACGCCAAATACTCAAACACTTGGAAGCTGAATAGCATGTTATTAAATATTGATTGGGTTACAAATGAGATCAAAGAAGAAATTTAAAACATCCTGGAAACTAATGACAATGAAAACACAACAATCCAAAACCTATGCTACACAATGAAAGCAGTCCTGAGAGGGAAGTTTATAACCCTACAGGCCTACCTCAAAAAACAAGAAAAAATGGTAGTAAATCATCTAACTCTACATCTCAAAGAATTAGAAAGAGAGCAACAAGAAAAGCCCAGAGTGAGCAGAAGGAAGGAGATAATAAAGATTAGAGCAGAAATAAATGACATAGAGACCAAAAAAACAATACAGAAAATCAATGAAACCAAGAGCTGGTCCTTTGAAAGGATAAACAAAATTGATAAACCTCTAGCCAGGCTCACCAAGAAGCAAAGAGAGAAGACCCAAATAAACAAAATCAGAAATGATAGAGGTGAAATAACAACAGACCCCACAGAAATACAAATGAGTGTTAAAAAATACTTTGGACAACTCTACTCCAACAAACTAGACAACCTGGAGGAAATGGACATATTCCTAGAAAAATACAACATTCCAAAACTCAATCAGGAAGAATCTAAAAATCTCAATAAACCAATAACTATGGAAGAAATTGAAGCAGTCATCAAAAAGCTTCCAGCAAACAAAAGCCCTGGGCCAGATGGCTTCACAGGGGAGTTTTACCTTTCAAAGAAGAACTAAAACCTATCCTCCTCAGACTATTCAAAAAAATTCAAGAGGAAGGAACACTTCCAAGCTCATTCTATGAAGCCAGCATCACCCTAATACGAAAACTAGGTAAAGACAACACAATGACAGAGAATTACAGGCCAATATCCCTCATGAACATAGATGCCAAATTCCTCAACAAAATCTTAGCAAATAGGATCCAGCAGTACATCAGAAAGATCATACACCATGATCAAGTAGGATTTACCCAGGGATACAAGGATGGTACAATATCTGAAAATCAATAAACATGATACATCGCATAAACAAATTGAAAGAAAAAACCACATAGTCGTATAAATTGATGCAGAAAAAGCATTTGACAAAATCCAACACCCATTTCTGATAAAAACTCTCAGCAAGGTGGGAATAGTAGGATCATACCTCAACATAATAAAAGCCATATATGACAAACCCACAGCCAACATCATACTCAATGGACAAACACTAAAACCATTTCCCCTAAGAACAGGAACAATACAGGGATGCCCACTCTCACAACTCCTGTTTGACATAGTGCTGGAAGTATTAGCCATTGCAATTAGACAAGAAGAATAAGTAAAGGCATCCAAATTGGAAAAGAATAAGTAAAACTGTCCTTATTTGCAGATGACATGATATTATACATAAAAAACCCTAAACACTCCATCAAAAAACTATTAGACTTAATAAATGAATTTGGCAATGTAGTAGGATACAAAATTAATGCCAAGAAATCTATGGTATTTCTATACACCAATAGTGAACTTACAGAAAGAGAGACTAAAAAAGCAATCCCATTTACCATCGCACCAAAAAATTAAAATACCTAGGAATAAACTTAACTAAAGAGGTAAAAGACCTCTATTCAGAAAACTACAGGACGTTGAAAAAAAGTGATAGAAGAAGACATAAACAGATGGAAGAACATACATGTTCTTGGATTGGCAGAATCAACATCATTAAAATGTCCATACTACCCAAAGCAATCTATAAATTCAATGCACTTCCCATTAAAATACCAATGGCATATTTCACAGACATAGAACAAACTCTCCAAAAATTCATCTGGAATAAAAAAAGACCCCGAATAGCTGCAGCGATCCTGAGAAAGAAGAACAAAGTAGGCGGGATCTCAATACGAGATATCAAGCTGTATTATAAAGCCACTGTTCTCAAAACTGCCTGGTATTGGCACAAGAACTGACATGTAGATAAATGGAATAGAATAGAGAGCCCAGAAACCAACCTGAACCAGTATGCTCAATTAATATTTGACAAAGGAGGCAAGAACATACAATGGAGTCAAGAAAGTCTCTTCAAGATTCTCTTCAAGAAAGTCTCTTCAAGAAAATTGGACAGATACATGCAAAAAAATGAAACTAGACCACCAACTTACACCATGCACAAAAATAAACTCAAAATGGATAAAAGACTTAAATGTAAGACAGGAAACCATAAAAATACTAGAGGAATCCAAAGGCAACAAAATCTCAGACATATACCGAAGCAATTTCTTCACCGACTCATCTCCTAGGGCATTGGAAACTAAAGAGAAAATAAACCAATGAGACTAAATCAAAATAAAAAGCTTCTGCACAGCAAAAGAAACCATCAACAAAACTACAAGAAAGCCCACTACATGGGAGAACATATTTGCCAATGCTATCACTGATAAGGGTTTAACCTCCAACATTTATAGGGAACTCATACAACTTAACAAAAGGAAGATAAACAATCCAATCAAAAAATGAGCAAAGGACCTAAATAGACACTTTTCAAAAGAGGACATTCAGAAAGCCAAGAGACATATGAAAACATGCTCAAAGTCACTAATCATCTGAGAAATGCAAATCAAAGCAACAATGAGGTACCATCTCACACCTGTCAGAATGGCTATCATCAACAAATCAACAAACGACAAGTGCTGGAGAGGATGTGGAGAAAAAGGAACACTCATACACTGCTGGTGGGAAAGCAGACTGGTGTAGCCACTATGGAAGACAGTATGGAGTTTCCTCAAAAAGTTAAAAATGGAACTCCCATTTGACCCAGTGATCCCACTGCTAGGAATATATACCAAGAAAACAGAAACACTAATCAGAAAGGATATATGCACCCCTATGTTCATAGCAGCACAATTCACCATAGCTAAGATCTGGAAACAGCCTAAGTGCCCATCAGCAGATGAATCGATTAGAAAACAGTGGTACATCTACACGATGGAATACTATGCTGCTATAAAAAAGAAGGAACTCTTACCATTTGCAACAGCGTGGATGGAACTGGAGGGCATTATGCTAAGTGAAATAAGCCAGTTAATGAAAGAAAAATACAACATGATCTCACTCTTTTATGGATAATAAAGACCATTATAAGCTGTCTCTATCTAGTTCTGTTGATTTTAATCTTGTCTAGGTTAATCTCTGTGTTCCATTATAAGGGTGTCGCCCCGGACAACTGGCCCACGCTGCGTGCCCAGCCCCCGAGTCAGCGCAGCCAGCACCGGGAGCTGGGTGAAATGCTGCTGCAGAACCTGAAGGTGCAGGAGGAGTCGCCCTTCGGAGTGGGGGCCCTCACTCACCTGCTGCTCTCCGGGAGTCCTGAGGACCGTGTGGCCTGTGCGCTGACCTTGCCCTTCATTTGCCAGAAGCCCTCTCTGTGGCGCCGGCTACTTCTGGAACAGGGCGGCCTCCGACTCCTCCTCTCCGCGCTGATGCGGCCCGCCCTGCTCCCGCTCTTCCTCTTCTTTGCTGCAGACTCCCTTTCCTGCCTCCACGGCCTGGTGTCTCCCACTGTGAGCCCCGCCCAGCCACCTGCAAGCCCCTGGGACATAGACCCGTCCTCCCCTTGCCACTATGAACCTCTGCTGGGCCCAGCTCCCAGCCCAGCCCCGGACCTGCACTTCCTCCTGGACTCTGGCCTGCGGCTCCCCGCCCAGCGAGCTGCCTCATCTACTGCCTCCGCTTTCTTCCAGGCCCTGCTGGCTGACAGCTTTGCTGAAGCCCAGATGGACCTGGTACCTCTTCGAGACCTATTACCCAGCGCAGCCTGGCCTGTCATGCATCACCTGCATGGCTGCCGGGGCTGTGGAGCAGCCCTGGGGCCCATTCCCCCGCCAGGCCAGCCCCTGCTGGGCTCAGAGGCAGAGGAGGCACTGGAGGCTGCTGACCGTTTCCTGCTGCCTGGGCTGGAGGAGGAACTGGAAGAGGCTGTGGGCCTATCCACCCGGGATCCCAAGGTGGCCCAGAGTCAGTGGGTGAGGTATTCGGCCTGGGCCGGCCTAGGCTGGCTGCCCACTGTGCACGCTGGATCCTGGGGCCGGAGCAGTGCCCACGGAAGCGGGCTCTGGCCTTAGTGGGGCTGTCGGAGGCAGCAGGCGAGGGAGCAGGTCCCCTGACTGAGGCTTTACTGGCTGTGGTGATGGGAGTTGAAGTGGGGAGCAGGGGTCCCAACCTAGACTCTTGATATCCCCTCGAGGGGACCCAAGAATGAATTGGCTAGAAGAAGGCCTCCCTTGGAGTGGCACAGGGAGGAGGCTAAGCAGGAGTCACCACTGAGGACCGACGAGAGGATGGAACTGGGCCCCAGGACGATGGACTGCAGACTCAGGAGTGAGAAGCCAAGACCGAGGTCTGGGCATGGGGACTACGAGATGGAGAAGAGCCCAGCTTTCTGGGGTTGGGATTAAAACATTGGAGTTGGATATTTAACTACACTATCGAGAACTATCTATGGCACCATGATTCTTATTATATTTTTTCTGAACTAGTTTAAAACAAGGATTGTACCCTACTCTACCCTTGTTAGTCTCGTTTTAAGCATTTACTCCATCTACAACAGCATTGTATACCTCCATTCCACATCCAAAAAGGTGTGCACTGTAAGAAGTTAACATTTTAAATAAAAATGACAGCCCTGTCAAAAAAAAGGAGAAAGTTCAAGAACCTTCTGTACTAAACACAATTTGCAAAGTTTTGTTATTTTTTTCTGTGTTTAGAATGCTGAAATATTTTTGAAGTTAAATAAAAAGTGTTACATTTAAAAAAAATAAAAAAACTTATTGCTATTACTTAATAGATTCATTGGTTATTCATACTAATCTGAACCCACCCATATCCCTGTGAAATGCTGTTGGGTCCTTTGGAGGATGGCCTTAGTATGGCAGTGACAACTCAGGGAACTGGAAATAAGCCAACAGTCATAAATCACAAAGCCTTTTACAATTTAAACATGATGGAAACTATATGCCATTTTGGGGGTGATCTGAAAAGCACATGCTTTGGAGTCATTTTGATGGATTAAGTATTTTCCCTGAATCATCTAGTTTAGAAGATTAAAACTTGATTATAAAATACCCAAATGTTTTTAGATGTAGAAATAGTTGAGCATAAATCAAATACTACAGGTTCATGAGAAAATAATCAAGAGACCAAGTGATGTGGTATTCTTTTAGGTCTGATATTGGAACTAAGAAACATTACAATAGTTTATTGTTCATAGAATAATATATTCTTTCAGAATTGTTTTGGAATGCAGGCACTACCCAGAGTTGATTGGTGCTTGGCAACACACCAAAATAATCCCAATGATGAAGGAAAGTTATGAGAATGTAAACTTTCCCCCCAATACCTTATGTCTCATTGACTTCAAATCCAGATAGAAGTGGTTTTGTAACTTTTCTATGGTTGGAAGGCATTCCAGGATAGAAGCTCTCTGTCAGAAAAAGTTACCAGATTGTCCAGATCAGTGAGGCTTAACTTTTAGGATCACAGATTCCTTTAAACAAATTTTGTGGAAACACTTAAGATCTCCATCTATATATATAAAATCCTAAGCGACTCTTTGGCCATTTGACCAGTAGCTATGACGTGCACTGACCACCAGGGGGCATATACTCAATACACAGGCATGGAAACATGGAACACTGATGAATCTCAGAGGGAAGGGGGGAAAGGGGATGGTAGGAAGAGATTAACCAAAGATCTTATATGCATACTAGAGGCCTGGTGCACAGATTCATGCACCAATGGGGTCCCTTGGCCTGGCCTGTGGGCATCGGGCTGAAACCAGCTCTCTGACATCCCCTGATAGGTCCCGGATTGTGAGAGGGTGCAGGCCAGGCTGAGGGATCCCACCGGTGCACGAATCCATGCACCAGGCCTCTCATAATAATATGAAACATCCCAAACTGGCTAGAAGGTGCCATTATAGGTTCTTGGTAGTTATAACCAATCCCAGTGGGACTTGTGATGTGATGGGAGAAATCCTAACTCTTGTACCCTAGCAGTTCTTTCTCTTATTCTCTTCAACAGCTGCTCCTTAATTTTTGCATTGAAGTAAGAGATGTCTCCTTATGATTATGTTTTTATTAATTATCATGCCACTTAGATGGGTTAGTAAGATGACTCTTTGTTCTCCAGTTGTGGATGAGAAAATTATTGGCTAGAGCAATTAAGTGGTTTAGTCAAGGAGGGGAAGAACAGAATTAAATCCCATGTACCTAGACTATTCTTTAGATCCCAACCTCCTTGCTGAGGCCAAATTAGGACACGATTTGACATGGTTTCTGGAGACCACAGAGACTCCAGGGGATCTAGTCTTCTCCCTTCCCATGTGGACCAGCCAGTGAGAAAGTAGCAGCATCATATGACCCTGCTAGCTATCAAAGACCAACCTCTTTTCCGTTGCCTTTTAAGGAGTACTTGGTGTTTTCTCTCTTTATAAGCTTCACTTAGGTTTTGGTTATGGGGGGCTTATTAGAATAATTTTATTGATGCTTTAACACATTTTCTTAGCTGGAAGCTAGTTTAGGAGCTAGTTTGAGAAGCTTGTAAATCAGAACTGCAAGGATTGGTCTTTCCCTAACAAATTCTGACTGATTGGCTTCCTAATGTTACATTAATTTTTGTCATTTTCCTGGTAGACTTTCCTTCCCTGACAAATCCAAGCCCTGTTATCTTGAAGAAGAATAATAAATTGGAAAATAGAACATATGGAAAATAATTGTTTGCAGCACAGCCTTTTAAAGTCTTCAAGCCCTGAGGCATAGTCTACGTGCATGAGGGTGCCCTGATCCACTGTCAGACATCTAGTACCTTGAGGGCAGGGAATGTGCCAGGATGTGCAAGAGCTCCCATGGCCAGGACAGCATGGCTTGCAGGAGTGGGGTGCTTCACCCTCCCTTCCCAAGTCTGGAGACCCATAATGTAATTTTTCTTAAGTAACTTATTTATTTTAGAATAGTTTTAGATTTACAGAATAATTACCAAGGTAGTGCAAAGAGTTCTCATATATTTCACACCCAGCTATTCCTTTTCTTCATATATTACACTTGTGATCATTAATGGTCCAAGACTGATACTGTATTATTATTTTTTTAAAACATATTTTATTGATTTTTTACAGAAAGGGAGAGGGATAGAGAGTTAGAAACATCGATGAGCGAGAAACGTCAATCAGCTGCCTCCTGCACACCCCCTACTGGGGATGTGCCCACAACCAAGGTACATGCCCTTGACTGGAATCGAACCTGGGACCCTTCAGTCCGCAGGCTGATGCTCTATCCACTGAGCCAAACTGATCAGGGCTGATACAGTATTATTAATATTAACTAAAATCCACAGTTATTTAAATTTCCTTAGTTTTCCCCTAATGTCCCTTTTCTGTTCCAAGATCCCACCCAGGATACCACATTACATTGGCTCATCATGTATATCTCCTTAGGCTCCTCTTGGCTATGGCAACTTTTCAGATTTTCCTTGTTTTCTATGACCTGGATAGTTTTGATGAGTACTAATGAGATATTCTGTAGAATGTTCCTCAGCTGGGATGTGTTCCTCATGATTAGATTGGGGTTGTGGGTTTTGGAGAGGGAGACCACAGAAGTAAAATGCCATCCTTATCATGTCATATCGAGGGTACTTATAACCAGCATCACTGTTGATGTGACCTTGATCACCTACCTGGCTGAGGTCATGTTTGTCAGGTTTCTCCACTAGAAAGTCACTTTTATTCCCTTTTCTGTGCTATACTCTCTGGAAGGAAGTCATTCTGTGCAGCCCACACTTAAGTGGGAAATTGATTGTATATCTCCTTGAGAGTAGAATATCTACACAAATTATTTGGAATTCCTCTGCATGGGATATTGGATTTGTCTTTTCTTTCTCAATTATTTATATATTCAGTCATTATACTAGTAAGAACTTATGGATATTTACTTTTGACTTGGAGTAATCCTATCTAATAAAAGACAAAAAGGGTAATTAACCGTACCTCCACTACACTTCCCATGGGCTAATCAGAGAGATATGCAAATTAACTGCCAACCAAGATGGCAGCTGGCAGCCACGCAGCTGAAGTAAGCAGGAGGCTTGCTTGCTCCAGTGATGGAGGAAGCCAAGCTTTCCCACCTGCCGCGGACGGCTCTAAGCTCCACTCTAAGTAACAATGTTGCAATTATAGAAGCTAAACAAACCCCAGATACCTGCTTTCAGCCAGCCCCGGCCTCAGAGCTGGGAGCACCAGTGACAGCAACAGAGTTTCAATTATAGAAGGTAAATAAATCCCAGAATAAAAAAGAAAAAAAAGGAGAGGCTGGGAGCTTCAGTTGCAGGCCAGCCTGAAAACGGCCCTCAGGCCCTCACCCAGACTGGCCAGGCACCCCAGTGGGGAGTCCCACCCTGATCCGGGACACCCTTCAGGGCAAACTAGCCGCCCCCACCTGTGCACCAGACCTCTATCCTATATAGTAAAAGGGTAATATGCAAACTGACCCTAACAGCAGAAGGACTGGGAATGACTGGTCACTATGACACACACTGACCACCAGGGGGCAGACGCTCAATGCAGGAGCTGCCCTCTGGTGGTCAGTCACTCCCACATGGGGGAGCTCTGTTCAGCCACAAGCCAGGCTGATGGCTGCCAGTATAGCGGTGGTGGTGGGAGCCTCTCCTGCCTCCTCAGCAGCGCTAAGGATGTCCAACTGCAGCTTAGGTCTGCTCCCCGCTGGCAAGTGGACATCCCCTGAGGGCTGCCGGGCTGCCAGAGGGATGTCTGGTTGCCAGCTTAGGCCCAATCCCTTGGGTAGCAAGCCTAAGCCATCAGGTGGTCATCCTCTGAAGGGTCCCAGACTGCGAGAGAGCACAGGCCGGGCTGAGGGACCCTCCCCCCCCTCGAGTGCACAAATTTTTTTTAAAATATATTTTATTGATTTTTTACAGAGAGGAAGGGAGAGAGATAGAGAGTTAGAAACATCGATGACAGAGAAACATCGATCAGCTGCCTCTTGCACACCCCCTCCTGAGGATGTGCCCGCAATCAAGGTACATGCCCTTGACTGGAATTGAACCTGGGACCCTTCAGTCCACAGGCTGACGCTTTATCCACTGAGCCAAACCGGTTAGGGCCTGAGTGCACAAATTTTTGTGCACCAGGTCTCTAGTAATGTAATAATACTTTATCTTTTT